GCTATTCCAACAAATAAAATGACCGAAATTTTAGATATTTTCAACAGTAGTTACCGTCCAAAACTAAAGTTTACCACAGAAAATTGAACAAAATAATAAAATAAATTTTCTGGATATCACTTACATCGCATTAACAATACAGTTAAAACCATGTGGTTTACAAAAGACACATGGTCTTCACGATATCTTAACTACAATTCTCATCATTCATTCTCCCATAAGAAGTCTGTAATTATAAGTCTTGCTGATAAATTTATACAACTAACATATCCAGAATACAGACCAACTGCAATAAAATAGCAAAAAACGCCCTTCTAAATCATGCATATCCCGAACATATTATTGAAACTATTTTCAAATCAAGACTTAATAAATTTTACAATAATACAAATAACAATAAACCCAACAGTATCAAAACTACTTATACAACTCTTTATAAAAGGTTTATCCAAACAATTAACAAATGCTTTAACCAAACATAACAGTGGCCCACAAAGGCAACAACCTTTTAAATAAATATTTCACTAAACTAAAAACACAAACTTCAAAACTCAAAAAATTACATGTTGTTTACGAAATACCATGTGTATTAACTGTGAAGGTGTATATATTGGGCAAACCAGTCAACTGCTTCAATCCAGAATTCGTTCTTACAAATATGACAAGAACAACGTCACTGCGCTCACAAAACATGAAAGTGAGAATAAGCATAAATTTGACTTCTAATTTATGCTATCTGAATCAAAATTTTAAAAACCGAACATAGCAAAAAGAAGAGGGAGATATACGAATCAATAGAAATAAAAAGAAATACCAACGCAATAACTGACAAAAAAGATACACAAAACCTAAATAAAATATATTTCAATCTGATTTAAATAATAATAAATAGAACACCATAAAAAGCTCTTAAAGTCAGTATATATCTCCACTTTACCTTTTTCAAATACATCAATGATACGCTCATATAAAAATAATTATACACTAATGACAGTAAACCATGAGATATCAGATATCAGTTTTTATTTGTCGCTTCATTAATATCTCTGTCCCGTTTTACGTTTTGGTAAGTTATATATACACATTTTACAATAACTGCTTGTTTTTAACCTTGTACATTTTTAGAATCATGACAAAGGCAAGGGTTTTCTGCCGAAACGTTGATTTCTATGGAAAATAAAATCTAGTTCTACATGTAATATAATTTATTGAACCAAGAAACACTAATTTTATATTATATATATACATATATATATATATATATATATATATATATATATATATATATATATATATATATATATATATAAATCTAGTAATTAAAGGAAAAAATGTTTCCTGGGAAAGTAAATGCGAAGAACTCAACAAATATATAGGGCCAACAAGATCAAAAGAAGCATGGAAAACGGTAATAAACCTGAGAACAAACCGAAGAGAAGTGAGTAGAATAGATTTAATAAAAAAAGATCTTGGATCGAATATTACTCACAACTTCTGACTGAAACAAAACCGCAATTCACGAACAGTGAACAGAGAAGACGATGAAATAACAGTACAGGAAGTCAAAGATGCAATACGAAATCTAAAAATTCAAAAAGCATGGGGACCACAAGGTATACCGAAATAATTATTAAAACACAGCCCACAAGTATTGCGGAAATTACTGACGTATGTTTTCACCTTTTTCTGTAAAGGATATGACTTACCACCGGAGTGGACAAAAGCACATATTAACAACATCTACAAAAAAGGAGATAAAAAGAATTGTTTAAACTACAGGGGGCTAAGTGTCATAAATTCACTCTCAAGACTTAATGGAACACTAATATAAAATAAAATTAAAAAAGAGATGATAGATGTAGAAGAACTAAATGGCTTTCGCGCAGACAAATCCTGTAAAGACAGCATATTTTCTCTAAAGCAGGTTATTGAGAAAATATTGACCCACAACCTTTCAATTCATGTAGTCTTTATAGACCTGTAAAAGGGATGCGATAGTATACCACTTTAAATGCTCTGAGTAGCAATGGAAAAACAAAGAATAAATAAAAAAATATATATAAAAGCAGTACAACATGACGGTAAACATTAAAACTGGAAACAAATTAGCTAGAGAAAATCCTATTAGTAAGGGTCTGAAGCAAGGTTGCTACATAGCACCATACTTTTCAAAATATATCTGAATGAGGCGCTGTCAGTGTGGAGAAGAAACTGCTGCAATATGGACATTCCAATCGAAGACGAAAGATTTTACACGATACACTTCAAGCCATTCTAACTATAGACGAGAGCGATATAGACTATACACTTAGATAACTGAAGGGCCTTCTTAAGGCTTTAAGAAACTCGGGCCTTACAATTAATATCCAAAAAACCGAGTATTTAGTTACAGGAAAAATATCAGAAAGCCTACAAATTGAAATGGGAACTATAAAATCAGCTGAAACCTTGCAAATCCAAATAACATCAAAAGCAGGGAGTAACGAAGAAATGCATTCTAGGATTGGCCAAGCAAGATCAGCCACTAGACAGCTACAAGATCGATCTGAAATGTTGAGGGTTTGTTAAGGACCACAATACTCAACTTTGGACAGAATAACAAATGCCTAGATTGATTTTTTACAATAGTTATAAATAAATAGCCCTTTTGCCTTATTTTGCAGTTTTTTAAGCTACAAAAATAATTTTACAACTTTTAGAAATCGCCATTTTACAGCTTTTTATGTTTTAAAAGAAAGTTTTGAAATTTTACCTCAAATATTAAGATTTTCAATGACAAGCAAAAAATCGGAAAAATGGCATTTTTTACACTAAACAGTTAATAATTAAAAAAAGACGCCGATATGTATGCGAAAAACAAATAGGTTTTCTTTATGTAAGCCTATAATAACTGAAAATCCTTTTTGCTTATTTCCCTGTACCATATCGTAGAGCCCTTGATAGACCATGAGTTTTTATTCTATATATATATATATATATATATATATATATATATATATATATATATTTATATGTAAGGGCTTCCTACAGCTGTTGTTGTCTCCCTCTTTCAACCATTTTCTCCATTCTTCTTTGTCCTCCCATTCTCCGTCTTCCAATCCTCTTCTTTCCATTGCTTCATCTACCTCATCTCTGAATGATTTTCTTGGTCTGCCTCTTTCGCGTTTTCCTATGGAGCTCCATTCTGTTATTTTTGCTATTCATCGGTTTTTGTGTGTTTGTCTGATATGTCCGTACCACGTTAATCTTTTTTCTTCAATGTAATTTAAGGTGTCTTTCTTTATCTCCATTCGTCTTTTGATTTCGTCGTTAGTTATTTTGTCCATTCTGGAAACTCTGCAGCTTCTTCTCCAGTAATCCATTTCTGTGGCTTTTATTTTGTTTCTGCTGCTTTTGTTTAAGACCCTATTTTCTGCTCCATATACTAGAATGCTGCGAATCATCGTGTTATAAATTATTTTTTTGTTATTTTTTGTTATGTGTCTGCCCCATAGGATTGGATTCAGTTGTCTTATAGAGTTTCTGGTTTGACCCACTCGATTTTTAATTTCTTCTTCTGTAGTACCTTTATTTGATATATTGAACCCCAGGTATTTAAATTTATCGGTCCCCTTTATTTTACGCCCGTCATCTACTTCCAGGTTTCTTGTTCGTTCTTGTGTTGTATTCAGATATTCTGTTTTGTTAATTTTTATTTCCAGGCCATTTATATTATATTCTTCTTCTAGTTTTCGAACCATATAACCTAGATCTTCCTCGTATTGTGCTATTATGACCTTATCGTCGGCGAAACTGAGGGTATATAGATAATCGTTCCTTGTGGGTACTCCCATTCCCTCACATTTTCTTTTCCATGGCTTTAGGGCGTATTGAAGAAATATTTTAAATAGTGTAGGTGAAGTCGAGCAGTCCTGTAGGAGACCTTTCGTGGTTTTGAATAGTTTTCCAAACTTGTTACCTACCTCGACTGTAACATTTTTATGTGTGTACTACTACTTGTACCTTAGATTAAAGAAACCCCTAAGGTGTACTTCACTACATGGATTAGCTTATCTTCTACTCCTATTTGTTGCCTATATTCCCACAGTCGTTGTCTGGGCACAGTCGTATGCCTTTTTTTAGGTCAATAAAGGCTAGATGGACTGGTCTGTTCTTTGCCATGTTCTTCTCTATTAGCTGTTGTATTCTATACAGCTGTTGTATTTTATTCGATTATTTGAAATTAAAGATAAAGCGGCAACGCTGCTGAGAATATTATCTAAGAAAATCTATTTATAGAAAGTCACAATCGGGTAACATAAAACGGTTGCCGCTTATTTTATTTATTCATTCCAACAATGCAAACAGTTCATTAGAAAATTGTTACTCATCTAATTGATGCATTGTCCGAATTATGTATAGATATAACTGAAAATTGATACCAAAAATAAATACCTAACTACATAATGTATATTGATATCAAACGTTTTATTTATAATGTTAACTGTATTTTGATAACCGACAATGATTGTAATGTTTGCAATGGTTGTAAAAGTCAATATTGAATAAAATATAATATTCCTACAATTGATTAGATCTAATTCAAATTCAAAATTTACAACATGACTTGTGCCTCTTTCAAAGAATGGACATTTAAATCAACGAGAATTGGATCAATAGTAGTTAATTTGTTAAATTTAAGTTCGTGTTTTTTGTTGTAATACCACGAAAATTAAAACTTTTTCTCAGTTTATTAAATAATTGACCTCATACAATGAAATAAACTATATATAGATTATGAACTGGTTATAGAATTATTTGAAATTTTTTTTCTACAAGCGAACACTTTGGCAACGTTGCGGCAGCGGTATGAATGGATTTAATAGTGACCACCGTAAACTAGGCACTACTGTTACTGTAATCCAATATTCCCCTCCCATGCAGCAAACTGACAGATAACCATGTGGATTTGCGGTTTATATGCATTTGAATTTTCGTTTCTGCCATTTCGTTCGCGTGTTGTGTGTTGAGCACGTGGATTCCGTCAAATAAAACATTGTGATGTGCGAAGCCCAAAAATAGTTAGGTTAAGACATGATTGAAGACGTTGAAAGTAGTTTAGTGTCGTCAAAATTAGAAGTTGTCAGTGGCAAACAACAAAATGGGGTTGGAAACCACGAAGAAAACAATAATAAACACCCCGCAGATGGGGGATCAAGAGCTTGGGTGATAATGTTGGCGTCATTCTTTTGTAATGGAATATTATTTGGTGTCATCAATTCCTATGGTGTGCTTTATTCAGAATTCCACGATAATTTACTTAAAAGAAACGTTACAAATGCATCTGGAAAAGCAGGTAAGTCAAATGTGGATAGTTTTGTTGGGAAGCTATTTTCTTGTTGCGTTTTAATATTATTTATATTTAATGTGAATAAAATCATTTATTATTAATGGAAGTTTTTCTAAAATAAGCGTTTTTGTATTTTTATAAACATAATAGTAATTACCTTTTTAAATTTCATTAAAACTAGGTAATTTAAGTTTTTCTAGGTACTCTACACTGTATATATTTCTGTTAATTAATTCGACTTCTAAAACTTTTGTCAATTTATTTTTACATTAATCTAAGATGAAATTTCATGGGATACGTAATAGTAAAGTCGTACAGATGTGATCTAGAAAAACGAGACTAACAAGCTGAGTTTTGCTGAGAATTTTGAAACCCCAAAAAACGTACAAAAACGTTTGCCATTCCTACACCCGGGCTTCTTCCTAAAACCCCCTCGTAAGAGAGTAAAATGGAAAATATTTGTTTGCCAAAAATCTGTACGCCACCGTAGAAAAAAATGTTTTAGACAAAAATAGTAGCTGAGATAATTTTGAACAAAAATGTTTATTAGTATTTTTTGTGTAGAAGAAACCGTTCTGTCAGAAACAATGGTTGAAGCGACCGGCGATTTTGAATGTCAGTTACGCGTGCGAAATCAATTTTTTAAAGAAAATTTGTATGAACTCGACGGTAAAAATTCGATATCTTAATCAGAGGGTCCTCTCCACGAAAATCAAAACGCGTTTCAAAGATCAAGAGTGCAATTTTTGTATTTTGCCGCAAATAAAGTTGGTTTGTATAAAGCTGTTAAATAAATAAACGTTGCGTGATTTGTACCATTTGTTTCGTTTCTCATAAGATCAATAAAATGTATCACTTCCATTGACTGGTCGCTGCGAAATTTCCATTATTAGAACCTAATATTTAAAACCTATAACATAAAATTTCGATTTTGATTTTGGCAACAAATATTTGGCGTTTGAAATGTGCCCAAAAACACCGATTATACTTTCACATTGCAAACGATCTCACGTCCCGGGAAATGCCTCCAGAAAGACGGCATTGGATGAAATTAAAGGTTGTTGTTGAACAAGGGAGTCACAGAAATTCAATGAACATTTTTAACACAATGAAATGGTTTTTTTCTCTCAGAAAATAAGCGCTGTTCTTAAGTTTAGCAGCCACAAATTGAAACGATGATGCCATTTTAACGCATGGACTGAACTGTTAACTAATAATACGGACGGTATCAGTTATTACTTGGTCGGCAGGTACGCAGGTACCCCAAATAGCCCAGGGAAATAAGCTTTTTTTATATGTTTCCTACAGTAGATTTTTTTGAATTTAATTATTAACAAATTAAGGTCAAAAAACGGTAAATTTTCGCATTTTCGTCTATCAGCAAAAAGTAAAGCATTTAAAACAAATTTGAAAAGAGAAGAAACTTAAAAGTCACATAAAAACCTTCAAAACGGCATTTTCTAACAGTTCCTTTTCTTATTTGTTGCCTAAAAAGTTGCAAAATAAGTCAAAAATGTTGGTGATTTATAAAGGTTAATAACTTTTTTAAAAATAAACTTTAACCTTTATATTACACACAATGTTGGGTCTTGTGATTTTTAAAATAAGATCATTATTTCAAGTAATCGGTCAAAGAGTTTAAAAGTTATTTAATTTGTTTATCCCAAATTAATTTTTTTTGCAACAGTATAATCAGAAATTTAAATAGGTATATTAAATATACAGATAGATTCTAAAAGAAGAAGAATTATTATATTAATATTATTTAAAAAAAAAATGAAGAAAAATAATTTTAAATATTGCAATTAATTTGGCAATGACATGTCAATTTTTTGCTTATAAACAATTAGAATAACTTTTTAATCATTGACTGCAAAAAACTTTTTTTTTCATATTTTGACAGCCTGATTCATGCTATACCAAATCAAAATGGACGTTAAATTTTCACTCCATATTTTTAGTTTTTTAAATTCGATGTATAACCTATTCAAAAATGGCCTCGAAAAATTTGTTTAAAAAGTGTTAAATAAAGAAATAATAATAAATAAGTTGCCATGACAATGTTTTCATTGAGATGATTTTTCCACTGAGAAAAATCTTAAATTTTTCTGACATTTTTTATTTTTAAAGAAAAAATATTAGTAATTACTTTAAAGTAGAAATAATTGAATAGGATAATTTGTTTTTTTTTCTTCATAAAATCTATTATAAATAAAAGATTTACGAAGTTTATCGAGGAAGTATATATTAATCATAAATATTTATTTTTTACAATAAAAATTACCTCAAATATTCTTTAAAAAAATAAAAACTAAAAAGAATGTTTAAAAGTTAGATAGTTTATTTAAGAAAAAAATTATTTAAATAATACATATTTGTATTGTACGAAAAGTACATATAAATTAAAAAACGTCGAAATCTATAAATACAGTTAACAGTTCCCCCCCCCCCCCTCGCGCTCTCACTACTTTCAAAGCCGACCAATTTGTGAACGATTCCATAAAATGCAATCTTTTTTGAAATTTTCACGTTAAAACCTTAAAGTATGTTCTTTCAGATAACCCTAATAAGGTCTCTTAATTTTTATAAACAAAGCTGCTATACATTTATAAAAAAAGGCACTAACTTCGTCCCACAGTGTCCTAGGTCAACTATTTTTTCTTTTAAATTTGTAAAAAGTTTAGGCTGTCAAAATATGAAAAAAAAAACAGTTAATTCTTAAAGTAAAAAGTTATTCTAATTATTTATAAGCAAAATATTGACGTGTTTTTGCCAAATTACTTTGCAATATTTAAAATTATTTTTCGTCTTTTTTTTTTAATAATATTAATAGATAAATCTCCTTTTAGAATCTATTCATATATTTAATATACCTATTTAATTTTCTGACTTATATTGTTGCAAAAAATTTAATTTGGGATAAAAAAATTAAATAACTTAATCTTTGACCGATCGACTTGAAATTTTGGTCGTATCTTAAGCACCACAAGACTCAACATTATGTGTAATATAGACGTTATAAGCTTATTTTAAAAAAAGTTATAAACATTTAAGTATAAAAAACCAAAATTTTTGACTTATTTTGCAACTTTCTTAGCAACAAATAAGAATAGGTACGTTTAGAAAACGCCATTTTGAAGGTTATTATATGACTTATGATTAAGTTTCTTCTGTATTCAAATTGTTTCAAACGCATTACTTTTTGCTGATAGACAAAGAAAAAGCGAGAATTTACCGTATTTTAACCTTAATTTGTTAATAATTAACTAAGTCCAAAAATCGACTGCAGGAAACATACAGGTTCTTGTTATCGAGTTGCCTGGTTGCCTGTCCGGAATGTCACAAACAAGGCACTTTTTTTGCTTATTTCCCTTGTCTAAAACATGATTTGTCAAAGTCATTAATAAAGAATTATACCCTAATGAGACAAAGTACTCTACGGCAATAATATTAATATAGAAATTTGATTCGTAAAAAAATTAAAGAGTTTCAAAATAAACTTTTGAAAAACTGCATATTTTCTTATTAAAGGACTCTAGTTATTGGAACGGCCTTATAATAAACGGTGAGCCAATTAATAACATAAGATATGCTGACGACACCGTCCTTCTGGCAGGAACACTAGAAGAACTGCAACACCTTGCTGAACAACTAAATATATATTGCAACGATTATGGACTAAAAATAAATTTAAAAGAAACCAAATTCATGGTATTTACAAAAGCACAAAACATCAAAGACATTCTAAAACGACTGGAAATAATTCAAAATATTTCCCTAAGACTCTGTTTGGGTGCAATGTGTTCAACGCCTAAGGAGGATTGAAGCTCTAGAACCACCATTATTTTTACGGAGGGAATGGCTAGCAGAAATAGTATATTACTTTATGAGGCGGAGAAGGATGACTTTTCTTGACGCGCACGATATTACGCGCCGAACGAATTGAGGCGCGTAATAGAGGGCAAGTAAAGAAAAGTCGCTTCTTTGCCGAATAAAGTATACTATTTTTTCTTCAAAAGTAGCAATTTTCAACCATAAATAGTACAATTCATACACTATTTTTACTCGAAATTAACTGTGACAACTATCAAAGTCGTCTAGATGTTAGAAATTAAAATAAATTTGAAATACAAAGTAAGGAACTTATTAATAGTTTAATATTGCAAAAATTATACCCCCATTCAATCTACTTTATTTAATATCATTAAATATGTATAAGTTATATAAAATTATTCTTAAGTTTACTAAAATGTGTAACTTAAAACTTTAGTGTAGGTGTTAAGCTCGTTACCTCTGTCAAATCGTCAAGTGTTTTACCTTTTTACCTATACTTTCCGTGGTATATACTTTCTGTCTGTGAGTCACCTTGAATGAGCCCTAGGTGCGAAAAGTAATCCTAGTTCCTCTCCCATTGTAATTCTACTTTTAATTTCCAGAATTGTAGGGTATTTAGTTTAGTTAGATTAGGTTATTAGGTGAACGTTATTTAGGTACAGATTCGCTGCTAGCTGGATGGGCATTTAGCCCGATTGCCAATAAAAAAAAACATCAAATTTAAGCTTGTATTAGATAATACAGAAATATAACAAATATCTTCGTACAAATACCTTGGAGCATGGGTCACAGGAGACTCTGATCAGACAAAAGAAATAAGATGCCACATTGAAATTGCACGGTCAACTGCACGGTTGCAAGAATGAGAAAACTTTTTTGTAATCGCAATATCAATATATCGCTCCAGATAAGAATGCTTTAATATTATATTTTCTCTACCCTTTTGTATGGGGTTGAAGCTTGGACACTTAAAAAATCCAACATTAAGAACCTAGAAGCATTCGAAATTGGGTGTTACCGACGTATTTTGAAAATATCATGGATGGATCGCAAAACAAACGAACACGTTTCTGAACAACTAGGAAAACAATGCAAAGTTTTAAATTCCATAAAAATCAGGAAATTCGAAAACTTGGGGCACATCATGAGAGGTGAAAAATACGAACTACTAA